TTGCTTCGAATACATCAAATTGAGATAGAGTTTCATTTAGTAGCAATACCAAGGTACCTATAGTAATATTTTTTTATACTTTCCTATACCACCCATTTTAACTTACTTCTATTTGTACAGTATAGTGGAGAGGGAACCCCTGAAAACAACCATCTTGGCCTGACAAGTTTATTGTTGAGCTTCCTTCCATTTCGAAGGAGATTGCCTCGGAAACAGCGTCAGCACGAATGTTCCAGTAAAGCCAATTGACAGCTGGCTAAGAGTAATTCGCCGCCGTCTTCTGGTGGGATCTACTTTACTATATCTGCATCAAACGCTTCTACTCGAAATGGAAGTAAGCCCAACAATTATGAAACAGGGGAGTCCTCGAAACCCAATTTTCCTTCGGTTACCAAACTAAACAAATTACGTAGACAAGATGACCGTGAATCATAACTAGAGCAGATAAGAAAAGTTTAAAAATGCTTTAAAAGTAAATTAGTAAATATTTTATTTTATTTGGCTATTTATTTTTGAATGTATCTCATTATCCTTAATCTTGCAGGCCCAGTCATGAATACGCTAGCAAAGGATCTGGCATATTACTTAAATGAATAAAATGAGAAGGCATTTTTAGGTGGCCTAGACAAATTTGCTTTATCTCAGACAGAAGCCTCCTACAATTCATATAAAGTATGCAAATCATCTTAAAATCTTTTTCTTAAGGCTGAGATGAATATTTAGCCTTGTATAATTGGCAGGATTTCAAGAAATTACTAAGGAAAACTTGTTAGTCACGATCAAACTACTCATAACCGGCATAAACAAATTGTTTCGCATTTATCATGAGTGTGTATATGCTAACCATCAATAAAGGTTTTGTAGTATCTCACTACATTGGGGTGACGCAATTGTTGTCGTATTATGCTGAGCTCATTGACAATGTCCCCGACGTTTTTCTGTCGCTCTTTATTAGTCCGACCGAGGAGACCTTGAGTTGTGCTGAGCTACATAAGTTAAAAAGAGAAGATCATTAGAGAAGATAAGCAGTTTCCTAATTTACAAAGTGGCAAAAGTATAAAAATTATAATTTAAAGAAAAAATCTAAATGTGGTCTTGTAATTCTTGGTATAAAACCCGATTTCCTGAACGAAAGGTAATGTGGCGAAGATGTAAGTATGTGCAATGGAATTAGTAGACAACTCGACTAAGAACCTTGCTGAAACTGCTGATGATAGATAGAAAATGTTGAAAGTTCAACATTAATCAGCTAATAAAGTATTTTCAAAATACTTTGAATAGAAAGACAATTTAGAGGATGCAGATGAAAAGTTGGCTCACGACGTGAGGCATGGGACAAATTACAGTAATTCTATTTTAACAGGACTTATGGGATAATGCATTTAGTACAAAGGTTTAAAGAGGCTTCGGACTACTCATATTTTGCCAGAAATGCCCCAAATATGTCCAAAAGTGTACTACAATAGCACATTTAAAAGGGCAGTATGGTTTGAATGCAAAAAAACAGTTTCGAAGCCGATGATGAATAAACTTTTCTAGACCCAATCTGTAACTGTGCATTAGATCAATGGCCAATCAACCATAAGTAGAACAATATAGAACTGTATGAAAGATCGGTTTTAAGCATGATCTTATCATGAAAAAATCAGCAAATAATATTTCATTGACTGATGCAATTAAACCTCCTCTATAGGCCATCAAGGTTTCGCAGAATAATTATTGTGTCCATTCACTGATAAGCTTAAATCCGCAGATACTCGTGTAATTTCAACTAAAACCATAAGGTTGTATTCATACAGTGTCTTAAAAAATTGAGGCGGTTATGAATAAAATATGCAAACGAAAACAAAAGTTTCTGATCTAGGTAAAAGATAGTATCATATTAGACCAAAAAGTAGAAGCGAAAAACTATTTTTCCAATGGGTTATATTGAATAAATAAAGCTTTATTCATTCCAATGAAGGCCATGTGTTAAATAGTATTCTAAGAAGAATTTAGTGATTCAGGGCTTTACGTAAGGATAATACTACTATTTTATTGAAATGGTAGAATATTAAAAATATTTAAGTTTGCTGTTTTCAAGATTGCATAAAACTGAAAAGTTCTGTTTGGTTACATGAGAAGTTGATCCTATAGTAAAATATTTCGTCATTATCATCCGACAACTCGAGCTGTCGAACGGCTAAACAGATGACAAAAAAGTGTAATCAATAAAACGTAAAGGTCTAGTAGGGTCAAAGGAATTCAATATCCTTAGCTAAAAAAGAGCTCAAAAGTAGAAGTAGCTCTTGTATGGGAACAAGAATGGGATTTTAAGGCTTTTAAGATGTTTATGTCTAAAGATCATAGCAAATTATTCCTACAGGCACTTACTAATAGTCTCGAACTTTACTAATTTTATATATAGTAATATCGTCGAGCTTAGGGGAAAACACAGATTTGTCACTCAACAAAAACTCTATAACAGATATTAATTGAAAAACACCTGGCCAGTTCGAACGCCTAATTCTCTCTTACACCCGGGCACCTAAAATGAACAAGCTGACCTTAGTACTTAATTGGTGTTATATATGGATGTTTTTTTGGATTAATATAAATATGATAGCATTCACGAGCTACGATTATTTGGATAGTTATGGTGGAATCATTGAATCCTCATAAAGACTTGCCTCTTTGATTGCATAAAAGGCAGATGGAGCATTATCACGTCGGGCTTTATAGACCACACCGAAAGCTCCACAACCGAGCATCTCGAGAATGGCATAGTCTCGGATCCATTGAATAGGAGCTTTGTTCTGATCGCATGCACGTACCCCTTCCAAAAGTTCTGACCTAAATTCATCCTAAAGAGAAGAGGAGAACAGCATGCATATAAAGGAATGATAAAATATATTTGTACGAACTATATAAAAACTGATTATATTTAAGAGAATAATATAACACAATAATTACGCTACGGAATTAGCGGATCGAAGAAAGCTCAGCTAAAACATTAATACATGTGCCTAAGTGAAAGAGTTCGAGTCATCGGCATTTAAAATAAGTAGCCACCTTTATAAATATTCCTTAGTGTTCCCGTTCTCTGCGCGGCAATGTATAATTGGAATAAGCCTGAGTTCATCACTTTGGGTATTTTGCGGTTGGTTAGTTGAGACCAATTTATTAAGCATTCTGAATACTTTATGAACGATAACATCGCTAATTAAAGTAAATAAACAGTCAAAATTCGGAGAAGTGGGTA